CTGCAATGCTGGACATTGCAGATCATTACTAAAAAAGTTTTATCTAACGTTTCTAAGATAAAAAGTTTTATCTAAAAAAGTTTTATCTAAGTTTTATCTCTCTTTTTTATCTAACGATTTTATCCAATTTCGTAAGCTGTTTTTATGAGGAGCTTTAAAAATATTTCCTTCCAGCATTGCAGATCATTACTAAAAAAGGTGACATTAATTATATCGAAGAAATTAATTATATCGAAGGAATTCTAAAACTGTACTGGAATTATGAGATGAATCGATCAGCGTGCACGTCTATTGGGAATCATTAAATTCTCGCCTGACATTCTTCTTGTTACCATGTTACTCGAAAACTTTTCATGGTGCACAATTTCAAAGCATCGTAGATCCTGACTTGACTGCTCCATCCAGTATTTTGTACTTTAGTAAAAATTCATATTCCTATCAACATTTCACAATCCTTGAAAGGTAATTCAAGGATGAGAAGTACCTAGCTATTTATCTCGTAGTCGTATAGATTATTAAGTGCAAAAGTATGAAGTACCAGTTGCAGCTCCGAAAGACAGCTATTTGAAATTTCAGTCAGAATTAAATATCTAAAGAACTACTCTAACTTCAAATAATTGAAGCTTGCATTAAAAACATGTTTTGAAAAAAAAAGCTGCTATTTGAATTGAATTTTACTTCATGAAATCTCCGTATTCATTTTATCAAAAATATCCAAGGCTGTCTTTATGATTACAATTTCCGCAAAATTTAAACAAATTTCGAACTCAGCATACTGGCGATCGAGATTTCTCGTTAACCATGCATTCATTCCTCCGTGGCTGCGATTTTCTCTATTGGTGCTATATATTCAATTATATTCATAGTATCTAAAAATATATTCAGATCAAAATTGCGAAATCCTAATATTAAAAAAACCTGCGTAAGATTTCTTATCGGATCAAGGTTACTTCGATGAAGGTAAACTTGCGAAGCACCAACCTGGTTACCATCGACAATTACATGCATTCATCAAATGCAGGTAAAAAATAGGTTCCCTCTCCCTGGATAAAATATATCGTTTAAGCTCGTACAGTTGTCAAAATATAGAGTAAAAGGATAGCCCTCTTGATCTACAAATTGTCTGCCATCTTATGGTAGCTGTCTATGCAGCCTACACAACTATTCGGTGGATGGAGTGACCTCTGCATAAATATCCACAAACCAATTTTTTGCTTACCGTCTCCAACACTACTACAAACGGCGTACTGCCAAAGTGCCCTCTGATATCACTGTTATGTTCGGAACTTCGTAGCACACAACCTAAATTGGGATGTAAAGTAACGAAGCTAACGAAATGTATGTATGATGTTTTATTCCTTATTAGCTTGCTTGCTTTTCCCGTTTAACTGTTTACTACTTCACATTTTGCCGGCTGACCGACAACAATTACTTAAATTCACCCATCTAGAACTGGATCAAGATGAACCACTCCAAATACGTTTGAAGAAAAATACAGGCATTAATTTATTCAATTTACGAAAAGGAACAAATTTCTTGCTGCTATGTAAAAGCGCATTAAGAAATGAACAGAAAGAAAGAAGCTTCAACGCTTTTCTTTCAAATGCAGACGAAAATAAGGAAGTGCATACAGATTCACATGCAAACAATGAATGCTAAGGTCAAAGTAACTTCCATAAACTTACTCTCTGCTTTAGTATTTGTAAATAAAATTGTTATCGATACTGAAATAAGATTTTAATTCCGCTTCGACATAATTAGATGTCGAAACGGAATTGAAATCTTATTGGAATTCTCTAAAACCCTGTCAATCAACTGAATACAGTTTTCCGTAACAGAAAAAGCTCAAAAATGATAAAATGAACGGAAAAATTCAAAACATAATGTGCAACAAAAGCTTGCAAGTAAATGTAGAATTAAAAATATGGATCAAAGTGGACAAGTACACCTTTAATTTGCATGTAAAAATGAGCGTTATTTCAAAGAAGCAAGGTTACGAAAAGGAATGGAGGACAGAAGCGGGTTAGAGAAGTTCTAAAAATATCGAAAATCAGAGATTTCTTAATGAATTCATATAAAGAGAATACCAAATAAAACATTCTACTCCTATTGGAAGGAAGATTAGTTTACAAAAATCTACAACAAAATAAAATTGGAGACAAAGGTATAAAATAGGAGAAAAATCAAAATGAGTTCCAAGTAAGAGTGACACTAGTTACGGACGAAATTAAGTGACCCATCCAAGATGCAAAAAAATCGAGTTTTCCATAATCGCTAAGTATGAAAATGATGGCATCGCAAATCTTACCGCAAACCTTATCGTAGATTTCTGGTACCGCTTAGTTGCCTTCATCTTATAGCTATTCTGCCCAATAAATAAACAGTGATCTCAACAGTGACTAGTCGTTTACGCATTTTGAAAAGAACAGATTCTCTAAAAATTTTCACATCCTAACATGAACTTTTGGCCTGAATTTTATTCCATCACTTCTAGTCGTCAAAAAGTTCCTTCCAATTAAAACATGTAAAAGCTGATTTTCTTCGCAATTATACCTATATTTTCCCACTTTGTGTTAGAAATCCAAACTTATAAAAATTGGAACACACGCAATAAAGCAAAGGCGGAATCAACGGGAACGAAAATTAAGCTTCAGCAGAAAAAGAAAGCTTGATTTTCGTTGCAATAATCGGAAGTCATCATTAAACCTCAAACACTTCAAAAAGTTATATATTCAAAGAAGATTCATACGCAGCGTCCTTTTTGCTGAATTATATGGTTGAATTAATGGTAAGAGAACAAAGGTATGAAATAGTTAATGAAACATTATGTCAACGCTGTTTGCCGAATGAAAATGCTCACTGAAGAGCACATTTAACAGCATGACAATCTACTTATTGTTACATTACTCTGCGTTTCTGCGGGCCGTATTGTTGGCTGTTTCATTCCTTCGTCCTTAACTGGCATCTAAAAAAAGATTTAGAGTATTATGTAGTATAACTATTATGCACTGTTCAACAAACTGTAAAATCAAAACATATTAAGTAAGGTGAAGTAAATAATAACTAGTCTGATACTCTCAAACCTTGGAAACATTATTAAAGCATTTTGCGAGAAATTTTTCCTGTCCAATGATTCTGAATGGTCCAAAGTGGACAGGAGACGCTAGATAGAAAAGTTAACTGTAGCCTTGTTTTTTTGAGCCATATCCATTAACATCAACCTACGCATAACAGTTTACCTACTGTTACATCATTCTACTGTCCTGCAGAAAGTATTATTAGTTTTCAATACTTATCGCGATGTGCAGTTCATAAAGCCATTGACAATATGGAAGCATGAAAGAATATTTACGGGAAAGAAAAAAGGCACCGTATACCTTGCTCACAGGTTTTAAATGCCGTCCGTATAATCATTAAAGTTATAATCCTCAGCTCCCCCAAACTAGAAATGCTAACCTTATCAAGAATAGCTTCGGCGAGGTCATAAAATGCTTTGTCAATTTGTATATTTGCCTTGGCAGAGGTTTCCAGAAACCTAATACCATGATCGCAAGCTATTTTTTCACCTCTTTCACGAGATACTACTCGCCGCTCTCCCATATCACATTTATTACCCAATAACATCTTTTCCACATCTTCCGACGCATGCTGAAATAAATTTCACGAAAAATTCCACACCACTTACTTCAAATTGTGACATAGTAAAAACACACTGTTTTTTCATGAATTTATAGCCGAAAGAAGAGTTCATAAATTGATCATTTTCTAGGTTGGAGGTTCAGTTACTACACTTTTATTTACATTTACAAATCTTGAAAAAATTTGTTTGTTTCGAATATTGCTCGAAACAAGTACTCCCTTTAGTACTAAGCACAAAATTTCAAAATTGGATACAGAGAGGGATACGGAGTCACTCCTAATATGAAACAATTTGTTGAGTCTGACAAGATTTGCAAACAAATCCTTCCCTCATATCCAATATGAATATCTTGCGTCTTGCAAAATTGACAAATAAATAATTAGAAAAGTTTGCCATTTAAAAAATTCGTCATTCTTGCTTCGTAGAAAAAAGAAAGAAAAAAAAACATAAATCACCTCGTCAATATTCCTTAACCATTTAGCAATATTATCGAAGCTTTTGGCGTTAGTTATATCATAAACTAACATGATACCCATCGCACCTCGGTAGTACGATGTAGTTATGGTGTGAAATCGCTCTTGTCCTGCTGTATCCCTGTAAAATAGCCATAATCAAACAGAGTTGGAAATAAACATACAGGTGCTTATTCACAAAGCTAATTTCTAACTTTAAAATGTTATGCTATACATGTGGAAGAATAAACGTCTTCTCTATCATCCCAGTGATGCTCCGGTGAGTAAATACCGATATACTTACTAAAGAATAAAGCACATAATGGTCTAGCAAACAATGGAACGTCATGTGCCAAGGGTCCGCAAGTTTGATATCGAGAAAGAAGTGAATGACCAAATCGCATCAATCGACAGAGAATTGCAAAACTCTTAGTTCACGTCAATACCAAAAACAGATATTCTGAAGGTGGTCTACTAGAGGAAGATAAGATTTACCAAATCTGCAGTTTAATCTTCTTTCCTTTCAGCTCTATTGTCTTAATTTTGAAGTCGATGCCTGAAAGTTAAAGTCATTAATATTATTTTGAGTCTTCCAGAAGTTACAATTGATCAAAAAGCTTGGAAACTTGACAAATTCGCACGTACTTTTAAGGTAGTCTGGACTGATTGGACCAGCCTAAGTGATATTGAAAACTCTAATTCCAAAGCAATAGATTATCCAATAACCATTCAAGTATTCAAGCTCACTTGAAAATTACTCCCTATAGGAACTAACGTTTCAAGAAAAAAGAACCAAACCTATAGTAGATATGAAAGTAGTATTGAAAGCGTCATCACTAAACCTATACAAAATACATGTTTTTCCAACACCACTGTCACCAATAAGCAATAATTTGAACAATAAATCATACTGCTTTTTTTGCCATTATTAATATCTGGAATTAACCAAAGTCACTGATTTTTATCTAAAAACATATTGCAAATTCTGATTCAGAAGTCAACGATTCATTTATATAGATGTCAAAACACGCAGCGAAATATTGATATTTCTGAAAAAAAAAAGGACGGAAACGAAAAAGTCAGATTAATTTCCAACCTTGCTGTAAACTTCTATAGTCATCTAGAAGTAGGTTTCTTCTCTAGCCATTGCAATATATTTTATAGTTCTACAAGGAAAGTTTGAATAATGGAATTTTTGCTTATGAACACAATATATTCACACTTCCCAGATTCATTTCACCTACAACGAAAATATAGGAAAGTCGCACAACCAATATTACATAATTTTGCTTCTCAAAATCAAACTTTTGCGGGAAAAAAAGAGTATTGCGGACAAGCGAAGATTGCTCTAAGAAAAATCGTGTGCAAACTGTAAACTGTATTGACCATAAAAGTCGCTGATATGGAAAAGAATATTAGAAAGGCAAGACAACCATACACAGTTCCATATCTCCTCGGTGACAAGGTAAATCCAGGAGAATAATTCTCGACCAGTTCCTACTGTTATGAATGGTGAAGTAGTAATATTGAAGCCCTTTATTCAGAAGGAATGACACAGCAGGAAACTGACTACTTGGTAAAAGAAAGAAATGGTACCGAGGACTAACCTCCAAACAGTTTATGTTATACCCCTTTGAATGGAACATAATTCTCATTCATTTGAAAGAGTAAACTGACTAGTAGAGGTAACTCACCACTGTGATATCTGAGATTTTGCGGTCGGCCGAAGTTTCTCCCAGCAGAATTCATAATTCTGCTAATCAATGGACTATTCCGGGAAAAAATACCTTCTCGTTCAAAAGGATGGAATATGTCACAAGTGATTTGCCATTTTCTTTACCTTTGTAAATTTAAAAGTTTGGATAGACCCCTCGAACAAGAATCGATCCACAGGTCAAAATAGCAAATGTAACATCTTTCAAATCATTACATAAGAAATCCCTGCGAGTGTTACTTTATTATTCGACCGACAAGAAAAAATACCAAAGTATACTTAACAGATGGCACTCCTCTACCAGAGCAGACCCAGCGGACTGATTCTCGTCTGAAAGACGAAACAAAGAGTCAAGCGACTAAATCAAGCAGGACTCCTCATCCACGATTCCCCATTACTATCACCTATATCCTCAAAACGGAGACAGACAGAATATGCACGTACGTGTATGTGCAGTCATATTCACCTGTTATGGTCATGCAAGCAATTAACATACACATATGCAGGTATAAATGCACCAGATAGCAGAAACATATATACGTATGTGTAACACAGCAGTAAGCACAAGAAGAAATACATTTGCGAGAGGGAGGTGGAAATCAATATGAAAGAGGTGGAGTAGCGTGGTAAGCAAAATACCGCCATTGGATGAAAAGAGCTGTGACACAAGCGAACAGACATGCAGGAGTAACGACAAAGGGAGCGATTTTCTGGGGAAATTCAGTTGATGTGGGTGTCTCGGAGAAGAGTCCTCTTTCCAGATATAACCGCATCCTAGCAGTAATGTGTAGGCTGAAAAGCCTAAATGTTGGTAGAGAAGGTCAAACATTCTGTCCACTCTATGGAACAACTCTAACAGTCACTTTATTCTATACGATGGCGCCGCCCATCACCATTAGCATCATCATCATTAGCATTATCATCATCATCATCATCAACAATCACATCGCTACTATCACCATCAATATTACCAATTACCACCACCATCGCCATCATCATCATCATCATCACCATCACCATTAACATTATCACCAGTTATGCCTTCATTATTCTGATTTGACTCGCTTTAATGCTCTTATTGCTTATGTTTCATTACATAGACTCTTGAAATTAATGGAAAGTATGTGTGCTTTTCTTGAAAGTATTCTTCACAGCTGAGATCCTTCGATGTTATGAGGGAACCGGGGTATAACATGTTGTTAGATATGTCGTAGGACAAATATTTCCGACATCGACACTGCAGACTACATAGGCTGTTGTGAGTCCATTACTGTTGAAACTATGTCGTCAAAACTATGATAATAACAAGTAGAAGATGGTAATAACCATAACTGACTTCACAGCGCATAAATAGACATCTTGAGCATATGAAAGAATGGTCGACAAATGATGATGCCAGTGAACCTGTTCAATGGTTAACTTCCGTGTCCTATCAGTATCAACGATTTCTTTTGTAGCAATCGACCCAATCACATTATTCGTGCTTTGATGAGCTAAAATCTTCCCTAGAAGAAAATCCTTTTACGACGAAAATGAAGTCTTTCGTAGGTAAATACATCACTTTCGGAGATGTTCACAATCTTTACCTTATATATTCATACTCAAGCAAAAATTGTATGAAGACGCCAAAAAATTTTTTGCGAATTAAAGCAATACCTGTTGCTTTAAAAATGGCTAATTCCCACTTGCATTATTTTCCTGGAATATTCTAAAGGAACAACGTTAAATGGCTACTCACTTAAACTAACGAAGACTAATGCACCACAATTCACTACTTTAGGGATTTGTTAAATCTGGTAAAATTGGCTTACCAAAAACTATTACCGAGGAAGAAATAAACAAAGACGATGAAATAGCTGGCAATACTTTACTTGTATCATTAACGATGCTGATTCTCAGAAAATGTCCAGCATCCATATCCGGACTTTCATTAGCCATTGCTTTTCCTAGATCTCAAGCAATGGGACAGCCAAAAAAATTGATAGGACAGAACAATTGCCACATCATTGGGAAAAGTACATTGAATATAAAATAATGGCACATACCATAGCGGACTCTTTCCCTTGCCTTTTTTTTCCTCACATTTCAAATTTGCGTAATTTTATCCTGTTCTCGGCGAAGTGTCGTCAATTTAGCAATAACTTTTGTCACACCTTCTAGTCCTTCAATTTCAATTTGAATTTTTCCTTTTTTTGGTAGAATCTCCGTTAATGAATTCCGCAAATAAGTTAGCAAGCTTATATGAAATGTTGGAAATTTCTTATAAAAGGAAAGAAGTTTTTTCGTCGGAAAAATAAATAACTCGATCCCTGATGCTTACAGTTAAAGTCCTTCAGGATTGATGAATACTTTTGGAAAGAAAAAGATAGATTTGAGTGTCAAGATCATTGATTAGAATATCATTTGGAAAATGTATGGTTGTCAGAATTCATTTCAGTTAAATAAATTTGAAATGAAATGAGAAACTGGGAAAAAGCAGTAAAAAATCAGCTCCAACTGCTCGGTTGGAAAAGTGAATGAATGAATGGATGGATAAATGCATTCTCCAATCTCTCACATAGCCTACAAAATATTTATATAGAGTTCTGCATATTATGTTATAAACGTACAAACAAGTGCTTACAAACATTTATAAGCTCATGTATACAACTTTAGGTCGGGAAAAAACGGAATAAGAAAGCCGTATTTCGGAAGGAAAATGTGTGAAGACCATCAAGTATGTTCCAGGTATTTTTCATCTTCGGGTAAGGAGCCAAGTGTAAAAGGCCTGAAATGATAAGCAATACAGGTAAGAAAGAGTGATGGGATTGAAGTGAGAAAAGGCATTTGGTTACATGGCTATTCTAGTCAACAGAAAAGAATTTTAACAGATCAGCTCATACCTACCTAAATGCCATTTCAAAATAAAATTAACGGAGGTCTGTAGGGAACACGTCACTCTTCAGAGACCTAGCCACTTTCAGAGCAGTGAAGAAGGGGGAAAGTGTAACTATGTTAAGATGAAGACAACAAAAACGAAAAAAGACTTTGAGAAAAGACAAATCATTTTAGATGTGCTGCTATCCGTGCATAGAAACATCTCACACATTCCAAATACGTACCAAAATATTCCCGTACTAGTGGTACCACGACATGAAAGTCAGTAGTATCAGTCTTCCTGGACATTTCTTACTACTCGAGTAATGTGCTGCAGTATAGGACTGAGAAAGAAGAATGTCATTTGAATGAAATAGAAGAAAAAGATCCTCTCAATCCTTTCCATGTTCACAGATGAATCTATCAGTCTACGATTCGTCTATGAAAATGAAAAAGTTTGCTTGCTTCATGAATTGAAAGG